TGTTTCCATCAGTTACTGGATGAAGACTCTATGATGACTAATCTGATTACCAAGGTAGGCCATTTCAGGCACCCTCTCCACTATTGCTAGTAGTCTAATCTGGGGTCATCCTTATGGGTTTCTGGGAATTTCCCTAGCACCAGGTTTCTCTCTTACCCCATAATGTCTCCTTCTATCAAGATATCTTTCATTGCTCTCCCAATCCATCCCTCCCCAGCTTGACTATCCCATTCCCTCATGTTCTCATCCCCTATCTCCTCCCTTTATTGTCTCTTCATCCCCAGTTTACTCATGGAGATCTCCTGTTTCCCCTTCCCAAGGTGATCCATACATCACTCTTGGGGTTCTCCTTGTTTCCTATGTTCTCTGGAGCTGTGGGTTGATATATCCCTGGTGCATAAGCTGGCTTTCTGGAGCCCATTGCCTATTGCTGGACACCTTACTTACCCTTGATACAGGTGGGAGGGGCTTGGTCCTACCTCAACTGAATGGGCAAGGCTTTTGCTGTCCTCCCCCATGGGAGGACTTACCCTTTTGGAGGAGGAGATGTGGGGTCAGAGGGGAAGGGGGAAGGAGGAGAATGGATGAGAGGAGGATCTGTGGTTGTATAAAAAATGTTTTAAAGAAAAAAAGAAATATTTGCAAAATCAAAAAATAATTTCAATAAAGGGATTAGCATGCATCCTAGAGGACAGCAATATTTCAAATTTTAATGGACAAATAATGATACATATTTGTATCACACAATGTGATACTTTGATGGTTTGATAAATGTGCTCTTTATGAATAGGAAAGTTAAGATAATTAACATATTCTTCACTTCATGCCCTTTTCTTTTGTAGTGGTATGAATATCTAAAATCCACTGGCATCTTTACATCATAGTATTATAAACTATGCTATCCAATAAATCTAAAAAAACTTATTGTCATTGTTTAAATGAAACTTTGGACCCTTTGACCAGCATCTCCCATTCAGAAACATTAATTGATGTAAATATTAGATGAAGCAAAATTTCCAAATACCTCTAGCCAAGGAGATTTTTGTTAAACCGAGCTACCATGGAGAATGTGGCTAGGAAATGAGTAAGAGCATCACCAATGTCCTTTATTGAAGAGTGACGGCTTGTATTTTCTAAGTCTTAGAAGCCTTTCCTAAACAACGTTATTTTGATTCATGACTTTTCTCAGAACCTCGTCTCCCAGTTTGCAGACAGCTCATAGTAGGATTGAAGAAGTAGTAAAAACGTACATGTTGTTCAGGAGCTCTGCAGTAGCCTTTGATTGATGCCTGATTTAGGAATGTTCCTTAGCCTTTTGACCACCATGAGATAAGCTTTGCTTTAGGAAGGCACGTGGCCTAAATGATCCTGTACCTAAAACAAGACAGGAGTGCTGGATGCAATGCTGCCTGAAACTCCAATTCCAAGGGATCTGATGACGTTTTATGACCTCCTAGGTCATAGAAAAGAAATCATAGTAAAAGTATCAGGATTTTAAGTTATTTGTACTACCTGTGTGAGTGAGTGTTATAACCCTCAAGTATGAATGTGTCTGTGAATGTGTCTGTGCGAGTCTGCCCACATGAGCACATGCATGCATTGTATGGATGCCCTCAGAGGCCAGAGGTGTAGGCTCACCTAGAGCTGGAGTTAGGGTAGTTGTGAGCCACCTGACCGGGGTCCTGTAACCACACACAGGTCTTCTGAACTCCTGAGCCATCTCCCAAACCAGGCACTCTAAGTTTGGGGGTGTCTGTTATCCTATCAAGTGCTCTTGCATCTGATTTTATTAGCACCTTCTCTCTCAGTGAGAATTGAGTTCATGTAAGAGGATGACTATCCTTCCCAAGAAATGGCTCTTAGCTTCTGTGACCCCTTTTTTATTCTGTTTCTGGTTTATTCCGACCAACCCGATCTGTGTCTTATTCTGCTGTCTGCTGCTTTGGAAGGTGCTTTCTTCTCTTCCAGAACATTGCATCCCTATTAGGTTGTCCAAAGTACTTCTGAATTTCCTTTCTTTTTGGATGTAGGAATATGTATTGATAAACAGTCTGGGACTGATTTGGACTAAAATTCCCCATTGAGGGTTTGATTCTAGCCTTATCAACGAGGACCTGACCATGGAGCAGGCCGGGGAGGCCCACTGCTCTGCTGAGGAGGCCTTGACTGATGACTATAAGATGATGATGACCCTGGACCAAGGACAGTTTTCAGAGGTCAAACTGGCCTTTCATATCCCCACTGTATCCTGTGTGGTTGTAAAAATTCTTAGAAAAAACAAGAAGTATGCCTCATTTATCAACAGTGAAGTCAGTATCATGAAATCCTTTGACCATGCCAATATCATTAAATTGTTTCATGTGGTCCACACCAGAGAGACCACCTACCTGGTGATGGAGCATGCATCAGAGGGAGACCTGCTGCATCATATACTGGAACAGGGGTCCTTAGAGGAGAGCGAGGCTCGAAGGTTGTTTATCCAGATATTGCATGCAGTGCAGTACTGTCACAATAACTCGATTGCTCACAGAGACATTAAGGCAGGGAACATCCTCCTGGACTGCAGGGGTAATGCCAAGCTCGCTGATTTTGGCCTTTCGGCTAAGGTCAGCCCTGAGCAGAAGTTTAATGGTTTCTGTGGCACTCTATACTACTGTGCCCCAGAACTCTTTGGAGAGGAGGCCTATGATGGCCGTGCCACTGATATGTGGAGTTTAGGTGTGCTCCTCTTCCTCATGGTTGCCGGGCACTTTCCCTTCAGAGCTAGGTCTGTTGAGCGGGTGAAAGAGCACATCCTTGCCGCAAACTTCAAGGTGCCTCCACATGTTTCCATGGACATTTTCAATGTCATCGTGGAACTGCTGATCATCAACCCTGGCTGGAAGCCAAACATAGGCCAAATCATGAGGCGCCCCATGGTCAGGAGCAGGGAGGCTCAGTCACCACCTACTTCCACCCAGGCTATCCCAGGCACCACAAGCCCTAGCATTGTCAAGGCCATGACAGTCATGGGGTATAAATCTGAAGAAATCGTTGAGTCTCTGAGAGACCAGAAATACAACCAGGTGATGGCCACTTACCTAATTCTACAGCAACAGTCACCCGAGGGAGACTGCTACCATCACCACGAGAAACCCGGGAGAGCCATGCAGTCAGGCCTTGACCTCAACCTGGCAGATCTTCACACTTTCCCTGTGTCCTTAAGGAGAGCTACCGAACCTGCTCCCCCCACCTTCACCTTGCCATCTAAGACCAAGGAGAGAGATGAGAAGAATGCCAAGCAGGGTGGCACAAGGCACAGCATGCCTGACACCCTGTGCTGCCAGCCAAAGAGGATGCACCATCCCTATCTAGCCCACCTGTTCTATCCTGTGACTGATTCCTTCACAAGCAGCAGCCTGGAAAGCACTGAGTATTTCACACAGTCCGAGATCAGGTCATTCAGTGGTCACTTGGCCAGTGTCCAGCCACCTCTCTTTCTGGACACCTCTTCTCCTAGGCCACACCAGAGTGAGACTCCAGGTGACACAGACAACAACATGTCCTCCTGCAGTCCACAAGAGGAACTCTGGAGCTCACAAGAGGCATCTCAGTATTTAAACCCCACAGGCTCCTCTTCTTGGGATACATTGCAGGAAGAGACCATGACCCAGAATGAGGCCATAACTCATCAACTGACCATGACACAGGATAAGGCCATGACCCATCAAGCCACCTTGACCCAGATTGAGGTCATCACCCATGAATGGAACATGACCCAGGATGATGGCATCACCCATGATGAAATCTTGACCCAAGATGTGGCCATTTCCCAGAAAAACACATGGAACCATGATGAGGCCATCAACCATGATGAAACATTGACACAGGATGAGGGTATCACCCAGGAAACCACCTTGATGAAGAAGGAGACCATCACCCAAGAAACCACCATAACGCAGGATGGGACCGTGACCCAGGATGAGTCCATCACACATAATGCAAACTTGAGCCCGGTTAATTCCATCAACCAAGAAACTACCTTGACTCAGAATGAGGCCATTACTCAAGGAACAACCTTGATGCAGGAAGGGACGATGAACCAAAATGAGGTTCTTACCCATGAGGCAACCTGGACCCAGGATGAGGTGATCACCCAGAAAACCACCTTGACCCAGAATCAGGTCATCACCAATGAATGGAACATGACCCAGGATGAGACCATCACACATGATGCATCCTTGAACCAGAATGAGGTCATTACCCAGGAAAACATCTTGACCCAGGAAAAGACCAGGACCCGGGAAGAGACTATGATACAGGATGAGGCCATCAAACAGGAAACCACCTTGATTCAGAATGAGGCCATCACCCAGGACACCAGGACCCAGGAAGGGACCATGACCCAGGATGAGGCCATCATCCATGATGCAATTTTGCCCCATAATGAGGCCATCAAACAGGAAACCACCTTGATTCAGAATGAGGCCATCAGCCAGGACACCATGACCCAGGAAGGGACGATGATCCAGGAAGGGACCGAGACCCAGGATGAGGCCATCACCCATGATGCAACTTTGACACAGGATGAGGCCATCAAACAGGAAACCATCTTGACTCAGAATGAGGCCATCACTCAGAACACCATGACTCAGAAAGGGACCGAGACCCAGGATGAGGCCATCACCCAATATGCAACTTTGACCCATGATGAGCTCATCACCTATAAAGCAATCATGACCCAGGAAGTGACCACAACACAGTATGTGGCCATCACCCATGATGCAAACTTGACATAGGATGAGGCCATCACCCAGGACACCATGAACCAGGAAGGGACCATGACCCAGGATGAGGCCATCACCCAAGATGCAACTTTGACCCATGATGAGCTCACCACCCTTAAAGCAACAATGACCCAGGATGTGGCCTTTAGCCATGATGCAACCTTAACCCAGGATGAGGTCATCACCCATGATATAACCTTGACTCAGAAAGAGGTCATCACACAGAACACCACCTTGACCCAAGAGGAGGGCATCACTCAGGAAACCACCTTGACCCAACAAGAGACCATGACCCAGAATGAGGCCATCACTCATGATGAAACCTTGACCTGGGAAATGACCATGAACCATGAAAGGACCATGATCCAGGATGAAGCCATATCACAGGAAACAATCATGACCCAGGAAGCAACCATCATGGTCATAGAGGCCAGCATTCAGGATGCAACCATCACCCCAGAAGCCCACCATGACCCAAATTGAGACCATGACCCAGGAAGAGGCTATCACTCTGGACAAGGCCATGACCCAGGAAGTGATCATCACCCATGGCCAGCCCAAGGAGGCACGCCAAGCTTCTTCCCGAACCAGGAGGCATCACAGCTGGAAGGGGGTCAAGAAAACAATTATAAACTGCCTCAGAAACCTCTGTTGCTGCTGCCTGCCTCCTGCAGACAGAGGCCCTGCCTCCTGCAAGAACCTGGCTCCAAAAGGAGGGGATCATGGAGTCACCCACAGAACCTGGTGGGTGTGCTTACTTCATTTTATTTGTGCTTCTCCTCCTGTCCCTTGTGATAAATGATGCCTGTGCCCACTTGTGGCACACTTGTGAACTTATCAACCTGTCACTTCAGAGAGCTCAATCCCAGAGAATCCCCTCAAGTGTGACCTCAGGCTTTTTAAGCTACAAGTGGACAGCAGAGATGCTGATGAGAGCAGGGAGAGCAGGAGGAGGGTCAAGGTCAAATGAGGCAAAGATCCCATGGAGGACCAGTGGGGTGCTTAGACACTGCAGGGCCAGCACAGGAAGTCCTGTGTGTTCCAAAGCCACTAAGAGTCTCCTTCCTGTGTCTTTCTATTTTGAAGTCCTGAAGAGGTCAAGCCCCAGCTCCATGGCTTGTGAGCCACGGGTTGGGGACTGGTCTGGCTGAGAATCAGACAGCCCCACGAGGAGCCAGGCCAGATGTCCAGGAAGCAGTGTGGACACAGGCCTCTCCTGCAGAGGAAGAGCTGTCCACCCCAGCGCAGATCTCTCCAGGTAAAATCCCAGACAGGAAGAAAAGGCTTTTCACAGGGTCTTTCTGAGAGGGGGAGGGCTGAGGTGCAAAGGGGCCCTAAGCTGTCTCATGGAACAATAGCCTCTTAGCCTCTTCCCCTGACTGGCTAAACATCAGAGATTACCCTCTGGGTAGTGAATCTCCTTTGCTCCCTGTTTCTGGACAGAGAACAGGGTGTCCTCCATGAGGTGAGACTTCTCTTCCCAGGGAGAGTATTTCTAGTCAGCCTGTCCTACCTGCCCCCAAGATGGGTTCCCAGGTTCAGAATGTGGCCAGCAAGCAACCCTGTAAGACTCGTCTAGAGGACAGCCTCCTGCCAACCTTTTGCAAGAACCCTCAAAAGTCATCACAGCAAGTTACATTGCTTGAGTCCTCAGACACAACTCAGAGCAAAGCTTGGGACAATTTCTACTGAGCAGTGACTCCAGGGCCAGGGGAGTTTCTTCTCTCTACCATTTCTGCTCTCTAGTTATTCACCTGCTGCCTCTCCATGCTTGCTCCTTCAAGGCCACCATTCCCACTGGGAACTGGATCCCACACTCACCACCGCATGCCACATCATGAGGCAGTCATAGGTATCATGATATCAATCAAACCAGAAACCCTTACGAGGGGGCAGCAACCTGCTGTGGGCCTGCCTCTTGCCAAACCAAGTCTGCCCTTGGAAGTCCATATCCCTAAGGTTGTCTGTTCTTATACAGGTAAGCAGGTTTTGCACATCCTTTGTGTGAAATTCCTGGAACCCTCCGCTGTACATCCCACAGTCACATTGGTAAGGTCCCATCTCCTGTGTTCTTTCTCCTTAGACGGTGCCAACATGCCACAGAACAGATACACGGAAAAGTCTGTGTGACTGATGTGGACGTTACATCGATCTATGTGTCTCCATGATGTGACATGAAAACAATGGTCCTGTGATGATAATCATGCTATACTGGCTTCTGTGTCCAACAGGGTATCTTGATAGTGTTCCAGCTCTAGGAGAAGACAACTGTCACATCTCTTCTGTCCTCTGAGCAACACTAAGCTCCTAGGACAGGAATGTGCTCAATTTAAAAAGAAAAGAGAATCTTACTCCACTCTGGGATGAGAAGAGTACCCCAGAACCCCATGCTTCCCAACCCACCAACAACAACTCTGGGAAAGTACATTCCACGGGATTCTTTGCTGGCCTCAGCCACTGGGTCTGCTCAGAAAAAACTGAGGAGGACTTCTCAGGTGACTCTGGCAAGCCTGGGAGGTAGATCTGGCCTCTCACATTGTGATCCCCCTAAGACAACTGTATTATTCACCTGCCACCATCCCCGGGAATATAAAGCCACTGGTGAGTATCTCTTTCAGTCTCTGTCTCTGTCTCTGTCTCTCCCTCCCTCTCTCTCTCTGCCTCTCTTCCTTCATGAACAATTTCCAGGCAGCTCAGCTGTTCTGTCTTCAACTAGAGCCCCAGCAAATCACCAAACACTGAATATCGCTATTAACACCAAATCAAAATGCAAACATAAAATAAAAATTGCAGTAGATTGAAAGAGATACATGATATTAAAACCAACCAACCAAAAAATAACACCCATAAAACCTTGAATGACCCACCCTAATAATAACAGTCTCACAGAAGCATGCTAAGGAAGCACATTCCACCTACAACCGAAGATGGAAATTGGCTTTCATTCCCTGACAGGTGTATTAAGGTGTCACAAGCACAAGTCCATTTTATTTTCTGACATTTGTTTCTGTCTACTTTGCTACAAACTGTTTTCATCTGCTGGTTTGTTTCTTTGACATATTTTCTGTCTGTTTGTTCGTTGGTTTGCTTGTTTGTTTTTGGAGACAGGGTTTTTCAGTGTAGTTTTGGTGCAGGTCCTGTTTCTCATTCTGTAACCAGACTGGCCTTGAACTCACAGAGATCTGCCTGGCTCTACCTTTTGAGTTCTGGGATTAAAGGCATGCACCACCACCGCCCAGCTCCTCTGCTGGTTTATGTTTTTATAGAGAGAATTGCCCTATAATTCAGGTTGGACTGAATTCAGTATAGCGTCCAGACTGGCTTTAAAATCTTGAGGGTCCTGCTGCCTCAGTGTCTCTTAGGTGCACTGGAACACTGTTAGCATTTGTGGTTTAGTCAAGGTCACATATATCCCAGGCAGGCCACTGTTCAGCCATAGATGACCTTGAGCAGGATCCTCATCTTCTTGTCTCTAACTCCCCAAGGCAGAAATTCCAGTTTTGAGCCACTCTGTCCTATTAAGTATGAAAAGCTCAAGGCCAGTATAGGCAGGAGTGAGTTGCAAGCTGAGTGGAATCCCATCTCAAGGAGAATATGGAAATTCTGAACATTTTGAACTATCAGATTTGGACAGAGCCTGGGGAGATGGGGGAATGGCTAAAGCGCCACAGAGAAAGGAAAAACTGTGTGAAAACAGGATGTGGCCGTGTCCTTATGCCATCTCAGGCCTGGGGCTGAAGAGAGGCAAGTGTAGGAGCTTTTTGGCCTGAAGTCAGTGAGACACCCTGTCTCGAAAATGAAGGAGAAAGCCTGTGGTGGTGAAGCAACCCTTTAATCCCAAGACTGGGAGGAAGAAGCAGGCAGATCTGTGTGAGTTCAAGGACAGCTGGTCTAGGGAGCGAGCTCCAGGACTGCCCTGTAAACTTAGAGAAACCCTGTCTCAAAAAACAAACAAAAACAAGTAAGGAACAAAAGTATTGGATGAATATTCCTGGACTAGATGTGTGCTCAAAGTGTTAGAACAGACAGACAGACAGGAACACACACACACACACACACACACACACACACACACACACACACACACACTTCTTGTGCCTAGTTCTCCAAACCTGTCCTTACTCGTACACCTCACTACTGTCTATTCCTTTTGCTCATGGCCTTTTCTTTCCTTTGCCAAAGCACATGACTCTTAAACCCCACAGTGGCATAACTACAAGTCCCCTCTAATGAGGAATCCTTTCATTTTTTAATCTCCTCTTCTTTTGACTTGGGTTTTCTGTCTGTAGTTCAGGCTGCCAGTATGTTTGAGGGGTTGTGATTTTTAAATTATCTTTGTAGCGGTGGATGACCTTGAACTTTTAATCCTTTTGCCTCCACCTACCAAATATAGGGACTACAGGAATTCCCCACCAAGCCTGGTTTATTTGGTTCTGGGGACCAAACCCAGGACTCCCTGCATGCTAGGCAAGAGCTGTCCCAACTGAGTCACACCTGTAGCTTAGACACTGTAGGGCCAGCACAGTAAGTCGTATATGTTCCAAGGCTACTAAGAGTCTCCTTCCTGTGTCTTTCTGCTTTGAAGTCCTGAAGAGGTCAAGCCCCAGCTCCATGGCTTGTGAGCCACGGGTTGTGGACCGGTCTTGCTGAGAATCGGACAGCCCCACGAGGAGCCAGGCCAGATGACCAGGATGCAGTGTGGACACAGGCCTCTCCTGCAGGGGAAGAGCTGACCACGCAAGGGCAGATCTCTCCAGGTAAAATCCCAGCAGGAAGGACAGGCTTTTCACAGGGTCTTGCTCAGAGGGGAGGTCTGAGGTGGAAAGAGGCCCTAAGGTGTCTCATGGAACAATAGCCCCTTGCCCTCTCCCCCTGCCTGGCAAAACATCAGAGATTGCCCTCTGGGTAGTGAATCTCCTTTGCTCCATGTTTCTGGGCAGAGAACAGGGTGTTCTCCATGAGGTGAGACTTTTCTCCACAGAGAAAGTATTTCTAGTCAGCCTGTCCTACCTGCCCCAAGATGTGTTCCCAGGTTCAGAATGTGGCCAGCATGCAGCCCTGTAGCGCTCTAATAGGGGGGTAGCTGTGGTGATTGTGTTCCCCAAAATGTTGTGCACCCTAATAAACTGATCTGGGTCAGAGGACAGAACAGCCACTAGATATAGTGGCCAGAAAATGTGGGCACACTCGCCTATAATCCTATAACTTGGGAGGCAGAGATTCATCTGGATCTCTGTGAGTTCAAAGCTACACTGGGAACAGCCAGGCATGGTGACTCATGCCTTTAATCCCAGAAAGTGAGCCTATAATCCCAGGAAGTGATGGCAGAAAGCAAAAAGGTATATAAGGCATGAGGACCAGGAACTAGGCAGGTTAAGCTCTTAGGCTTTTCAGCAACAGTGCAGCTGAGATCTATTTGGATGAAAAGCAGAGGCTTCCAGTCTGAGAAAACAGGATCAGCTGAGGAACTGGCAAGGAGAGGTAGCTGTGGCTTTTTGTGCTTCTCTGATCTTCCAGCATTCACCCCAATACCTGGCCCCGGGTTTATGTTTATTAATAAGACACTTTAAGATTCATGTTACAGGCAGCCTCCTGCCAATCTTTTGCAAGAGCCCCCAAAAGTCATCACAGCAAGTTATATTGCTTGAATCATCAGACCCAACTCAGAGCAAAGCTTGGGACAATCTCTACTGAAAAATGACTCCAGGGTCAGCTGAGTCTTCTCTCTCCACCATTTCTGCCTTCTATTTACTCACCTGCTGCCTCTCCATGCTTGCTCCTTCAAGGCCACCATTCCCATTGGGAAGTGGATTTCACACTCACCACCACGTGCCAAACCGTGAGGAAGTGAATGGTGTTGTGATATGGATCAACCAGATGCCCTATGAAGGGGCAGCATACTGCACTTTTATCCACTCGGCCCTGTGAAGTATGAAAAGCTCAAGGCCCGTATAGGCAGTAGTTGGTTTCTGCTGTGGGCCCTGCCTTGTTCCAACCCAATTCTGTACTCAGAAAGCCATATTCCTAAGGTTGCTTGTTCTTACACTGGTAAGCAGGCTCTTGCACATCCTTTTGGCGAGTTTTCTGGAAGCCTCCCCGTCTATCCCACAATCACATTGGTAAGGTCTCACATCTTGTGTGTTCTTTCTCCTTAGACAGTGCCAACAGGCCAAAGCATGAGACACAGAAAATTCTGTGAGACTGATGTGGATGGTACATCGATCTATGTGTCTCCTTAATGTGAAATGAAAACAATGGTCCTGGGATGATAATTATGCTATGCTGGCTTCTGTGTCCAACAACGTGTCCTGATAGTATTCCAGCACTAGGAGAAGACATCTGTAAAATCTCTTCTGTCCTCTGAGCACCACTAAGCTCCCAGGACAGACATTTTAATGTGCTCAATCTGAAAAGAAAAGAGAATCTTACTCCACTCTGGGGTGAGAAGAGTACCCCAGAACCCCATGCTTCCCAACCCACCGACAACAACTCTGGGAAAGTACATTCCACGGGATTCTTTGCTGGCCTCAGCCAATGGATCTTCTCAGAAAAAACTGAGGAGTACTTCTCAGGTGACTCTGGCCAGTCTCGGAGGGAGATCTGACCTCTCACATTGTGATCCCCCTAAGACAACTGTATTGTTCCCCTCCCCCCATCCCCAGGAATATAAAGCCACTGGTGAGTATCTCTTTCTGTCTCTGTCTCTGTGTCTCTCTTTCTCTCTCTCTGCCTCTCTTCTACCTGAACAACTTCCAGGCAGATCACCTGTTCTGTCTTAAACAGGACCCCCAGCAAATCACCAAACACTGAAGATTGCTATAAATAGCAAACCCAAAATGCAAGCATAAAATAAAAATTGCAATTGATTGAAATAGATACATGATATTAAAACCAACCAACCAAAACATAACAGCATAAAACCTTGAATGACACACCCTAATAATAACAGTTCCACAGAATCATGCTAAGGAAACATATCCCACCTAGAACCAAAGATGGAAATTGGCTTTCATTCCCTGACAGGTGTATTAAGGTATCACATGCAGAAGTCCATTTTATTTTCTATCATTGGGTTCTGTCTACTTTGCTACAAACTGTTTTCATCTGCTGGTTTGTTTGTTTGTTTGTTTGTCTGTTTGTCTGTCTGTTTGTTTATTTGTATGTATGTTTGTTTTTGTAGACAGGGTTTTTCAGTGTTGCTGTGGTGCAGGTCCTGGATCTCATTCTGTAGACCAGACTGGCCTTCAACTCACAGAGATCTGCCTGACTCTTTCTCCGAGTTCGGGGATGAAAGGATTGCACCACCACCACCCAGCTCCTCTGCTGGTTTATGTGTTTATACAAAATATTGCCCTATAACTCAGGCTGGACTGAATTCGCTATAGAGTCCAGACTGGCATTAAATTCCTGAGGGTCCTGCTGCCTCAGTGTCTCTTAGGTGCACTGGAACACTGTTAGCATTTGTGGTTTAGTCAAAGTCTCATATATCCCAGGCAGGCCACTCTGTAGCCATAGATGACCTTGAGCAGGATCCTCATCTTCTTGTCTCTAACTCCCCAAGGCAGAAATTCCAGTTTTGAGCCACTCTGCCCTGTTAAGTACGAAAAGCTCAAGGCCAGTATAGGCAGGAGTGAGTTACAAGCTGAGTGGAATCCCATCTCAAGGAGAATATGGAAGTTCTGAACATTTTGAACTATCAGATCTGGACAGGGTCTGGGGAGATGGGGAAATGGCTAAAGCACCACAGAGAAAGAAAGGACTGTGTGAAAACTGGATGTGGCCGTGTCCTTGTGTCATCTGAGGCCTGGGGCTGAAGGGAGGCAAGTGTGGGCTCTTGCTGGCCTGAAGTCACTGAGACACCCTGTCTCGAAAATGAAGGTGAAAGCCTGTGGTGGTGGAGCACCCCTTTATTCCCAGGACTGGGAGGCAGAGGCAGGCAGATCTCTGTGAGTTCAAGGACAGCTTGTCTAGAGAGCCAGCTCCAGGACAGCCAGGTAAACTCAGACAAATCCTGTCTCAAAAGACAAAAAAAAAGAAAGAAAGAAAGAAAGAAAAATCTAAGGTGCAAAAGCATTTGATGAATATTCCTGGTCTACATGTTTGCTCAAAGGGTTAGAATAGACAGACAGATAGGGACGGGTTCATCCGTGCATGCACACACACACACACACACACACACACACACACACACACACACACACACATCTGTGGTCAAAAATGGGTCAGGAACAAACACACACATTCTTTGTGCAGAGTTCTCCAAACCTGTCCTTACCAATACTCCTCACTACTGTCTATTCCTTATACTCATGGCCTTTTCTTTTCTTTGCCAAAGCACATGACTCTTAAACACCTCGGTGGCATAACTACCAGTCCCCTATTATGAGGAATCCTCTCATTTTTTACTCTCCTCTTATTTTGACTCCAGTTTTCTGTCTGTAGTCCAGGCTGCCAACGACTGGCGACCCTCCTGCCCTCAGCCAACTGATCGAAGGGGATACAAGTGTGCACCTGTCCTTTGTGTGTTTGAGGGGTTTTGTTTTTAAAATTATCTATGTAGCAGTGGATGACCTTGAACTTTTAATCCACAGCCTCCACCTACAAATATAAGGACTACAGGAATTCCCCACCAAGCCTGGTTTATTTGGGCCGGGGACCAAACCCAGCGCCCCCTGCATGCTAGGCAAGAGCTGTCCCAACTGAATTACACCTGTAGATCAGGGTAGCCTGGGACTCACTATATAGCTGAGGAAGACCTCCTGATGGAAATACAGATCTACAGCATTGAACCTGAATTTTCTCTCTCTCTCTTTCTTTTAACCTTTCTAGATAACCTAGTTCTTTTTCTGAGAGTCTTTTGGAGTGCCACAAACATGAGCTGTTTCCGGATGCCGCTATTCTTCTGAAGCTGGTGAGCTGTGATCTGGGCAGGAGGGAGGGAAAGGAGGCTGTCCCAGTCCCATGCCCTCTCAAGGACACTCAGGTCAGTTTGCAGCAGTCCCTCGACTGTCACCTGTGTAGCCAGGCTGCTTTGAAGGACTGTTCTGACTAGCGGCCCTCAAGTTGGACTCATCTAACTCTCTATACAGCTCTGTGGCAAAGGATGGAAGGCACCAGCCTCAACCAGCCCATATCCAGACCTGTACCTGATGACACTGTGAGATGGAGCCTCACCCCCCCTACTTGAAGGTTTAGTCCCCTCACCCCTTGGGAGATCTCACGCCCCTCACAGTTTGCCAGTTTTAGGGAGTTTGTGCATTTTTCTTAAAACTAGATGCTAGAGCCAGGGTGAAGGTATATGCCTATAATCCCAGGACTCTGGAGGCTTAGTCAGGAGACTAGCCATAAATTCACGGCCAGCCTGGGCTATTTATAAGGAGCAGTAGTCTAGCTTTGGTGGCACTGTTAGATCTCTCTCTCTCTCTCTCTCTCTCTCTCTCTCTCTCTCTCTCTCTCTAAAACATAGAAAGTGAACAACGAACAACAGGACTAGTTGTCCATGTGCCTTGCATGCACACTGGTTCTTGGCCCTGGGTTCTTGCCCAGCATAAAATAAAACCAGATGGAGCATGCTGGGAATCCCAGTATTAGAGGGTGGAGACAAAAAAATCAGGTGGTCAAGGTCATCTTCCAACACGGAGAGTTGGAGGTCAGTCTAGGAGGAATGGCACTATTTTAAAAGCAAACAACCCCTACCCCAAATCTTAATGCCCAAATCTGAGAAAACAGTGACATGGCAGCCCATAACAACCACATATTCCCTGTGAATCAGACTTTTCTGATAGAAGAAATTCAGGTGTCTAGATGTGCAGTGCAGTAATTTTTTTCCTATAACTCACATCTGGAATTGGCCTGAACATTGAGTTCATCCCTGTGCACACAGCACTGAAGAGTTCAATAAGTACTTCTAATGCTGGCCCTGTGGGAGGCACTGGGGTGCTTTGTGAGTAGTGCTCCCTGGTGATCCTGTGGGGGGCAGTCTGGAGGGAGGTTTGGAGAGCATAAGAAAGGCAGGGATGCTGTTGGCCCTGCAACCTGCCAGAAACTCTGGTGTTGTGCCGCCCCCTTGTGGCACTTCTATACCAGTTCCGTGTTAGTGTACCTGGTTGGCTGAGGTCCCTGCTTCACCTGGTGCCAACCACTGTGGTGGTTGTGTGGGTTTGTGGGTGGGGTGGGGGTAGGCTTGCACGGCTACACCCATCTAACATGATTTTGTCCTTCCTTCCTTTCATTCCTTTTCCCATTATCATAATAAAGGAACAAAATACCCTTCATAGCTCTGCTGACCTTGAAGAAATTGCATAGACACACACTGCTGTTCCAGGCTGTGTTGTTTATAAGGCTAGACGGCTGGGCAGCGAGTCAAGAGTGTGAAATCGACACTCTGAGCCAGATTCAGAAGTACAAGAGGACTGGGACAGTGAATGTCTGTTTTTACATTACCTGCTTTCCTTGTGAGATAGGATTTCGTTCCCCAGGGTGCAAGAAAAAGAGTGAGCAGGCTTGCTGAAGCTTGTCACCCCACCACTCGGAGATGGACAGAGGTGCATCTTCTTTTTTGTTTTGTTTCATCTGTTGTGATTTATGTTTGGGTTTTTTCCCCCAAAGACAGGGTTTCTTTGTTTGGCGCTGGCTCTGGACACCAGGCTGGCCTTGAACTCACAGATATCTGCCTTCTTCTGCCTCCTGAGTGCTGGAATCAAAGGAATGTTCAACCACCACCTCCAATTGATGAAGGTGCATTAATCTTGCTGGCCTTGAGAAAGCCTGTGTCCAAAACACAATGTGTACAGCATCTGTGAATTGACATTTGAAGGAAATACATGTGCTACATACATACAAGTTTGAACATACATGTGTATGATGTATTCAAGGACATACATGCACAAGCATACAAGTGTAAACATATAATGTGTGAGTAATCTGCACACACACTGAAGTAAAAATAATGATAAAGGATCATAAAGTTATTTGAAAAACTAGGTAGCTTTTTGAAAAACCTGACCTTCTGTGCGGGAACATCCTGGTGAGCAAGACCTAGGAGAATGAGACAGGGTGATGCTGCTGAGAACACTGGGGTGGTGGTGGCTTTAGGATGCTCTATGGTTGACAGAGCACAGAAAGCCCAGATTAGGAGAACTTATTATTGCTGAGTAGAATCCATTTGATAGGCTAACAAGGTGATCCCAGATTTGTTAGCACTGTGGGTCACCTAGATGTCTCATCTCTCTGTAGCATGAGACAGGCGACTTCAGAAGCCAAGAAGGATGGCCCTGCACTGGAGAGCACAGCCCACCTTGATCAATTCTACTGGCATTGACCCTCCCCCCCCCAAAAAAAATTGCAATATGTTTTCTATGTTGGAAATAAAATGGCATTGTTAAATGAGCTTTTTGTTGTTTTGAGACAGGGTTTTTGTGCAGCTCTGCCTGGCCTGGGACTGTGTAGACCGAGCTGGCCTTAAATTTGAGGCATTGTGCCTTGGCTTCCCAAGTGGCTGGGATCATAGGTGTGCCTCATCACTGCCTTCTTCTTATGGGCCTGTTTTTGTTTCATGGCTTTCATATAGGGTCACATGTGTTTTAGGTTGGTATTGAACTTGCTATATAGCAGAGGCTGTCCTGAACTCCTGATTGTCCCATATTGCCTCTTTCATGCTCATATCACAAACCTGGACCACTACATTATAGCCTAGACATGACAATTTGTGCCTAGTCTTACTGCATCTTATTATGCCATGCTTGGTTGGCATCCCTGGGAGGCCTGTTGTTTTTTTTTTTTTTTTCAGAAGTGAAACAGGGGAGCAGGGGACCTGGGGGAGATGGGAGGTAAGGGGAGGGACTGGAGGAGTAAAGGGAGGAAAGCTGTGGTCAGGAAATGTTATATGAGAGAAGAATAAATAACAATTAAAACTCAAAAAATGTGAGCAGAAGACCATGGAATCGTTGGATACAGAAAATTGAGTGACTTTTAAGTGTAGCCATTTTCTCACAGAATTAAAGAAGATCTCTTCCCTGTAGTCATTTCTCACCCATGGGTGTGTGGTGGGTTGTGTGTGTGTGTGTGTGTGTGTGTGTGTGTGTGTGTGTGTACATGTTTGTATATATGTGTGGATTTTTTGTATGAGATGATTTTGAAATATGAGAATATTACAAAATTATTCATGAAGCTATTGCCCAATTGTTTGGGCTTCAAGAGGATGGGAACAGAGAGAGTTGAGACAGGCTGGAATTACTAAATTTTCCCCTCCAGATCTTAGTGCTGTCTCTCTGGTTACAGTAAATGCATGCCCTTTTTATTATCTTAAAAATAATGATAAAATTAACTTGAAAAAGAATGAAATTTTTCATGGTAAGATTTCAAAGACAAGATGATATAGGAATAGTGACAGGTATAGCAACAGGGCTATGTGAATAAAGGCACATGCCACCAAGCCCGAGGTCCTGAGTTGGATCCCCAGAACCCAGAGGGTGGAAGGAGAAAACTGACTCCCAAAGCTGTCAGACCTCCACACATGCACCGAGGCATGCGTCTCCCTCCACGAACAAATAAACAAATATGGTGAAGAATGGCGGGGATCGTTCTGCATTTGTACCCGAAGATACAAGCATGTCAGATATGCCATAATCCAGTTACACTAAACTTAATAGAAAAGAAAGTAGGAAGCACTCTTGAATGCATTGGCACCGGAGACCTATTCCTAAATAAAACACCAACAGCATAGACCCTGAGCACAATTAATAAATGGGACCTCTCGAAATTGAGAAGCTTTTGCTGGGCAAAAGACACAGTCAATAAGACAAAAAGACAGCCAACAGAATGGGAAAAGATCTTCACCAACCCCACATCTGACAGAGGATTGATCTCCACACTATA